TTCTGAAACTTGGACGTTTATGAAATATCCTTATTGTGAGATTATTGTCCAGTCAACTTTCTGGACTTCATCGACTTTTAAGCTGGTATGAGTGACCACCGTCCCTGATAATCTGCCCTTGTCCTGCAAAACTCGATCTTCGATCGCCGCCTCGTTCTACACAAGGCGTCTTAACGAGTAGACAAACAAATTGGTTCTCAAAATGGGCACATGGTGCTCCTGTCATTGGCGAGGTCTGCGAAAGCTTAAGGTACCTTAGTCTACAGTCCACCCGAGCTTGGGGGTCTCCCCGGAGTCACGGTCCTCAGACACGAATGATCGTTTATCGCGAGTGCAGCAGACCTTGCAGAACAACTCACTCTTCACACCGAGCTACGGATGAGCATAGTCGAGGCCGAGATTGGAACATATGAGATGCTGGAGGTATTGCAGTTCTCCTGTAACCGGGCGTCCATATAGAACTAGCCGGCATTCTTGCTCAGTAACTTTTCTATTCGCTGCTTTGTTCAATGACTCCATCTTCTAGGATTACAGGCACCGGCATTGGTATTCCAGTAACCCCAAGGAGCATGGTAAAATGAATGTTTGGATCATATCAGTATGCACAATGCGGGTATTGATATTCGGCGGTCGTATTGTAAATTTTAAGCTTCACCAGCATTCACAGCACTTGCGACCCTACTCTCTCTGAGATGTTACGCCCTGCTCTGCAGCTTGTACACTGTACGACGCTTGAACTACGGCACTCACATGTCTTGAGCCCTATCCTTCTCTGCTCATGGTGACGGCGACCAATGGTAGGACCAATGACGCCGGCTTCACAAGACCATTGCTAAGTCAAAATCTGGAGTCGACATCTCAAAGGACAATCACCACAGCTGGCGATAACGTCGGACGGTGGTTGGAACCTGTGAGACCCCCTTAAGCAGTTGAGAACATCGTATTCGCTGACAGTGAAGGAGGGTTTTACGAGACCTCGTGGGATCGCGAGATGCATTCGCAATTCCTTCCTCTCCCTTTGTGACGCCATCTTGTTCTCATCGTGTTTTGACTTCACGGCCTCATCTCCTGAATCGCTCATCGCTCCCGGCATTCGCTCTGATTGCGCTATGCCAGTGTCGGACTCACGGTGACGCGCACCGAGCATGCGACGCAATGTTACTAGGTTAATACCTTCACCGACTCTCGAAATAGAGACGTATGAAGCTGGAAGGTTTGCCACTGGAGGTAAGATCCATGCTCGAAGCGACTGCTTGACTTGTTTCTCTTCTATATACCTATCTTGGCAGGTAGCTAATTCAGTAGAGAGTCCTGGTCTGTTGCCCAATACCACCCGCATCTGACAAGCACTTTCTAAAGTGCGCACTTTAGAAACGATCATCGGGCTTACCTACGACATCAAGGGAGCGCAGTTTCTTTACTCATTCATCCAGTCTCTCGACTGGCAGACGCAAATACCAACGGGCCTCGATGCCACTTCATGATGCTTGGGCTTGATGAGATACCGGACAGTAGCATGGAGACGACGAAGGTCGTCTCATCATAGGTCATTTCACAAGACTTCTGAAGATGGAGTGTCACTGGATTCTTCGAAAAGAGGCAGTGGATATGTGCGTCTTCTGACCAGCCTGTGCTTGCCAAAGTAGGCTGTTCAAGACGGACACCTCTAGGAGGTCCAAATGAAAAGTAGCACGCGGCGCAAAGCAATCTTGCCATGGTGAACAGTCGCCTGTGGGATCTCGAGCTCAAATCTTACTTACTTGCCGAGTGAATGAGGATAAGGATCCAGTTCTCATTGATACCCATAGACGTATGGGTTGGTCATGAAAGATCTCTCATTCAGAAGGTAAGATACTTCGAATCAAGATGCCTTTTCTCTCGTATAAGCTAGAAGGATTTCACAGATTGGGATGATTGGGAAGTTTTCATATCAGTTGATCATACATTGAATGTACGAGGACGATGTAAATGGTACTCAATTTGGTCCAGTCTCCACGCGCTATCGCCCACAACTGCCCGGAATTTTGGAGCTTACGTAGCACTTGCGTCTGTAAATGATTGAACTCTCAACTCTTCACGCCATATCAAGTCCAGCCTTTACACTGCTCTACCTTAGACACCACTGGACTCACCGCTTGCGAGTCCGGTAATTGAAGCGCAGCTACCTTCAAAGATACGATATCCGATAGGCGCTTTCCAAAGTAGCACAAGTTACTGATTGTAGTAAATGCATCGGGGAACCTCGCTCGGTCCCGCGTTCCAACCAGTTAAGATAACATACGAGGATCGCCCCGACTTACGTGCCATGTGCAGAGGTAGCGTAATCACCATTCGACTTTGCTGGGGTCTGAGGATGCAATCTGACAGCAATGACGACGAGGACGAGATATGATGGGGTATGACGTTTTGAATCCGAGTGACTTCTGTCTTAAGGCAACTAAGGATAGATTAGAAACAGGCCCGATGTCCCGGACAAGCGTAGTAGATTCCAATATTCGATCTTGCAGCACAGCGGTCACAAGCACGTTGTCATCGGGCGGCATGGAGCAAGAGTACACCTCATAATCTTTGGGTTCCCCTGGAAAGCTGTGTCGGTGATGATCATCCTGCAACCATTACGGTACGCCTGGCGCAAGGCAGCATCATCACAGCAATCGTCGTGACGCACAGCCTCGTCAGATCCACCTTTGACACAGCCTTGCCCGCTTGTAGATGTGATTTTGCGGCTACGGTGATGCGATGACATCGGGAGCAGAAAGGAGGGACCAGAGACTAGCCCAATGCCGGTGGCCAGTTTCTCGCGAGAGCAGGCGGTAGTGCTTCTTTCACCGGGAGATTTCTTGAAGCTGTGGCGAAAAAGGCAGTTTTACCAGAGGATTGCATGATTTCAGCGTCGGATATACAAACGTGGTTGACACAATGGGGGCTGGTGTGAGGAGACGAATGTCTTGGGTGGGTGTCTACTCACTTGAGCTGCGACATGCTGTTGGCATAAGTAAAACATCTTGGAGGAGAGAGTGGTGTAGTCTGGAGAAGGATCCTAGCGGCCTAGGCACTCTGGTCTCCATCTCAACTCTGAAAGAGGTTGCGGGTATGAGCGCTAGCCGTTTTATGTGCAAAAAATGCTGGCGGACTCCAAGCTCTCTTTTTGAGATCAGGAATTTCGGTTGCTTTTGGGAGTAGACCGGAAGGAAATCTTCATCTACCCTGCGATGAGTAGCCACAACAGGGAGACCACAGATCAGGCAGGAAAGACTTGCAAATCATCAATACGCCAAATATCTTTGCCACAAGCTATTCTGCAATATCATGGTGTGGTTTCGCCAAATGGTGTGAGGTATAGCCCGAGTTGATTGATTATGAAGCCGCCAGTGTGTGCCACGCGGTGGTGCTAATGGCGATGTCTGATGTGGAAGAAGCTGGTGGATGGAACCTCTGGCTTTTCTTGAGAGGCGAAAGGATAGGAGATTGCGTTCCCTGACGATGGGCCAGCGGTCAAGATGTGAGCGACTCTGCGATCCTGGTTTCTCCATGATGTCTCAGTGGTGCACCAATCAACGGCGCGAACGAACGAGACGATGGCAAAGTGAAGACACGCGTTCGAACATTAGCAGGCAGGACAGCGGATGTGGCCAAAGACAAACCGGAGAAGGAGCTGCGCCTGACGCGAGCGAGACAGAAGAAGCCGATGAAGTTGAAGTGGAAGAAGAAGCACCGGTAAAGCGGCGGAGCAAAGGAGTTGCCTGTAACCTGGATCTCAACAGGGGAAAGGCATGACTGGAGTTGAAAGGTCTTGTCTGTTTTGATCCCACATGTGTGCGCGCAACAAGGCTGTGCGACCACGATGGCACTCGAGAGCTCCGGTGGTATTCGGAAGCATCAGCCAGGGTAGATCGCTCATCAAATCCAGAATCTCCGCAACAAGCTGGCAATCGATGGATTCAGACGTCACGAAGACGAATACGCATTGCTGCCTTTCGAAATCATTCGGAAAAGAACGTCAGCGGTCTACCAGCCAGCGTTTCGAACTTCAAATCCATGAAAGCCGCCCTTGGAAGCTGTGAGGCCAGCCCAGACAGAATGTCGCAAACCTCGGCCACCTCTGCTGCCTCGTTGCGCAGCCTCAGTTGGCCTCTGGCTGTTCAACATTCTCGCAGGGTGGAATGACCATTACAGCGCTCTGTTGTGCTGGGTGCGTTGCTGACTGTGCCTGTTTGAAGGATAGGATAGCGCGTCGTTGGTCCCGCATTGCCCTTGCGCTGCCCTTCGTAACTAGAAACACGACTTCGTGGTAGTCTTCTTGACCTGACTCTGGGAGAATCATTGAGTTAGCAAAGCATCGCGCCAATAGACAATCACATATCGCAGTCGTCCTCTTGCCAGGACGACCTTCTAGCCACCTTGATCGCTTGCTAGTCCGTGAGAGCCGTGTTCGTCATTTCGACCGCCGACAGTCGCGTCTGCTACACCCGACCGAGTCCTGCAATCTGTCCAGCTGCGGCTCAGGTCTGTTGGAACGGTTTGGTGGAGCTCTGCGATGGAGAGAGCGGCAAAGGTAGTCGCAACGGCTGTGGCATTGTTGCAGTCTGCGTAGGTGGCCAGTCCACTGTTCGTGGATCGACTAGACTGTGGTAGATAGGATGCCGACATAGTGTTTCTGCGATTCCTGATGTACATCTGCACGACCTTGGTTTCGCTATCGATGCCGCGAACGACACCGCCGTGTTTGACTTGTCGAGTAGCGAAGTCATGCAGAAGATGAACGAGGCATCTGAGATGTGTTACCTGCATAACTGTCTTGTTGCAACATAATTATGTAACTAAGAGGCATACGTGGGTGCACGGACACACGGGGTAAGGCGACATGCGGGGCACAGCCTTCTCCTTACCTAAGCAAATGCCCATAGTCCCATAGTCGGGTAGCATACCACGTGATCTCGCGCCATCTCCACTCACCGAGTCCCACCGGCAACTCCCGTTCTGTCATTCACGACGTTCATCATCACCTTACCTTGTCCCCGACAAGTTGCGGCCCTCCGACATCAAATCCATCTCCAGCGCCGCCTCCTCTTCCTCCCGCTAGTATTTCTTTTGCGCAATTCTAACGGAGAGACCTATCCTGTTCGTTCCGACCGTTCATTTGCTGGCGTGGCTCATTGTGCGAGGAGGACTGGGTTCCCGTCAGAACCAATTCGAAGCGTAGCTTGCACCCGCAGCGTGACGCCTCGAGTTCGTGACTAGACGCCCCGGTCAATCTACTGTTCGTACAATAGCTACTCATGCACTTTGAGCAGGGTCACGATCGTTACCGGATGCGTCTTCTCCATTAGGACCGCGCGACGGACTTGCTGCTAAGGGCAAAGAAGTGCGATAACAGCGTAACTGTAAGTGTCGGGCTCCCTCTCTCTCCCTTGCGTGCTGTCGGGCTACGCCCCTCCATGTCTAAACCTACAGGATCAGCCGACATCGACTCCAACATGCTGCCCTGCGACTCGGATGATTGCGATTTTGAGGCACCCAACGTCATTGCGGTGCGTGAAGATGAGGAACAATCGCCTGAAGTGATTGAGCAGAGTTTCCGATTGCGCATCCGATATGCCTCCCCCGGTCTCGTCTCTTTCCGCCTGCTTGTAATCCCCGACGGCATGTCAACAAAAACAACGTCTTGGCTACAGATCAGAGCGGACTGCATCGAGTCACTTGAGAAGATGCTCTATGACAAAGCCAACACCAACGGCCCAAGCCCACCTTACCTCGAAACTGTCCGCTCGCGACTCAATGGCATGCAGTCGGTAGCCAGTCTCCAATTTCAGCTGCACCAGAACGGTCGTATCGACCTAGTCACACCCATCGATTCCGATAGCGGAAACACAACTGGCGGCGAACCCGTCTTGGAAACACGAGCATCACTCAAGTCCCTTGCGACTGCCTCGCGGTTTTCCGTGTTCTTTCGGCACGACATTCTGCGGCGGAAGACATTTCTCAAATACAAGAGGGCTATTCAAGACTTTCCATCTTTGTCAGACAATGACAAGCTTGCATATGAGTGTATGGTGGATGTACGTAGGCTGTATCATGGCGTTGGCGGCAAGGTGCACACATCCCGCGGCCTTCGTGATCCTTGTCCTCCTGCCGAGGAACATCGCGGCTCCCCCGATCCGACCACGCCCGCATCGTGCGGCGGTAGCACCGTTCCCTTTGACGATGTGCCACCTGATCGAGGTCTGCCCCCGCCGTATGATGAGTGCTCGAGCGAGGGACAGTCGCCGGAGACCCGACCAAGCCCTGCAGCCATAGTCGCCGAGAAGTCAAGACGCGACTGCGAACGCGATCCGCCGGAATATGTTGATCCTGGAAGGCAGAAGAATGCGCTGGAACCCTCCCTGGACGTCTTCCCCCTGGGAAATGCAGATATGTACACACCAGGCACCAAAAGAAAACGTTCGCCAACCACCGTATGCACCACAACAACGTCCGTGATAGACGCACCTCGCCCGGGCAAATTGCAATACCCGCTACTAGCCGATCGGGGCAGCCCACTGATGCATGCGCTTGAGCAACAGCAACAACACATCCATGATCTACAACAAATGTTCAGGGAATCGCAGAGACGTAACGAGGCGCTCGAAGCACGGTGCGATGAGCTGGAGAAAAGACTTTGTGAACTGGAAGAGGGTCAATCTGAAAATGTCGAGACGGTCGGGAATCTTGACATCACCCTTGATCAACTCCAAGCTAGGTGCGATACTCTCGAGAAGCAAGTGCCGGACGTGTGTGATGAGATGGAAGACCTCAAGAAAACATGGTTGGAGGAGTGCAGAGAGGAGCTTGAAGACAAGGAGCGCGAATCATTCGAGGATCGCATGGCGAAACAGGTGCGCGAGAGTGTCGAGGCTGAATTGAACAAAGTCAGAAGGAGGGTCTTGAAAGCCCTTCAACCACCATGAATCAACGAACAAGTCAAGCCGAAGTACGGCACCCACCGCATTGCTTTCGGTGTTGCTGGTTTCATGCTCCCTGCTCCCCATGGCACACAACTTCTGCACTCCGAGAGGAAGAAGATGAAGCAGAGGAGATACTTCTTACGTTAGAGGTGGTAACAAGCAAGCGAGCCACCAATATCGACCTTCCTCATCTGTTCCATCCTGAGACTCATCATGAGCGTCGCCTTCGTCGTCGGCACGAGAAATGACGACCATGCAACCCCCGGCCGCCCCCCTTGTGGCACCTACATACAACCCTTGCGTAGGGGTGCTTCCTGATACTTGGGATGCCATTATCGCGTACCTTGGGTTCGCTCGGGCGGTGGCACCGCCACCCTGGTTATAGGCCATGTCGGTATTGCTATCAAGCCTAATGACATGAAGTCGTTCTTGGCAAAGGCCGAGGAAGACTAGGAAAGCATTGGCTAGTACCGGACACTGAAGATTTACGAGTGTGGCGGGGATGAATTCGGCTACATCAGCTCAACCCGCGCCCAGCGCAGCCCATATGGGCAGACCTCCCCTGATCGCAATACCTCGAGCCTACAGTGACTACCCAAGATATGGGAGTTGTAAGAATGTCCACGGTACCCCTTTGGCACGGCGCGTGTCTTGGGTCACCCAAGTAGGATTTGCCCTCCGTCAAGCACCTACCTACTTACATGTCTTCCTCCCTCTTGAGGTGGCCAACCACTCGCTGCCCGCACGGAGACGGAAAGGCACTACGTCCTCGGTTGCGGCAGGCAGGCAGTGTTGCAGGACATATCCCAGGACGATGGGAGGAGGCAAGTGTAATTGTGAACATGATCCATCCCGATTGCTTCTGTCTATACCAGTGATCACGCAGGTAACTTGATGGGAGAAGAAATTTACGTGTACAAGGTCGCCAGCAATGGGGACTTGCCGCTAATTTGCGCCCTGTTGGCGCCAGTCCAACTCGTCGGCTATCGGGAACAGAGGCCACGAGGAACGGTTGCGGCAATGTAGGGATACACTCCCGGTCAACGAGCCGTCACCTCAAGTGCGGTAAAAGGGCAGTGAGCTACTCAACCATTTTGGTTCAGCATAATGACGGAACGCAAATGTTCAGCTCGAGTAGTCGGAATTTTGAGTTGTTGGCAGGACAGGGAGATCTGCCACTCGCATACCAGTTGACGTCTGGAGGAATCGTGGTCTTCGCCCGCTTCCCCTTCCTTCCACCTCCCCTAGTACGCAGCAATAACACACCATTATATTGACGCGTGTGCTAAGCGATCGGTTGCCCACTGACGAGAGAAGTATTGTTGTCGGCTCTCAGAACGCAATCACAAAGATAGCTACACCGAAACCCCATACTTCTCTCAAAGTAGTATTTGTCATTGACATGTGCTTAGTCAATATTGCCGGCTTTCACGCAAGCTTCAGGCAAATGGAAAGCATTCATCGAACCACCTCTTGACGATCCTCAGCCTCGACGATCCTCAACCTCGATGGTCATCAGCCTGGGCGGTCCACAGCCTCGCGGCTTGCTTCCCGTCGACCGATTGACTGCCAAAGCCAGATCTCGTTCTGAATACAGTGCCAATGAACGTGTAACGTAGGGCGAAGGCTTCCAGATGCCAACTGCTGTTAGCGTGGTCTCGCAAAGGTGTTGCTTGTTGAAAGAGATGTGCCACGGTCGCCAAGTTGAGCCACAACGCTGCAGACCATCGGGCGGCTGCACAGTTAAGCGCTGTTAAATCCATGTTGTCTTTGGCATCAATCACAGCCTTTTCCTCTTTAGGGAGGGTGACCATGAAGCGTCAACCATAAACCGGGAAATTGGCCAGTGTAGAACTGTCCGGCCCAAATTATTATGAAAGTTGTCGCATTCTTCATCTTCCTAAGAATAGTAAACTTGATGTTCTCGTAATCCTACCCGACTACCTTGATGAAAGGAGTTTCTCTTTCCGACGTAGCATCAGAAAAGTTTACACTTGGAGAAGCAAGCATACTTCAAGCAGCACACTCTCGGCCATAATGCAAGGCGAAAGTCAACCGCGTCCGGCCTCCTCTACCTCGAACACCTGGGTCAATGCCGCTGATTTTCAGAAGACATTTGACAGGGTGATAATCACCAAGAGCAGCTTGCTAAGAAGCTACAGCGTGCTGTAATGTCTGAGTATCTCTAAGTTCAACCCAATACTAACCACGTGAAGCAGAAGTACCAGCAGACCACTCTGAAAGAAGTGAAATGTTATCGGAGCTTATTCAATCTACCACAGTCGACCAGTTATGGAATCAAAATCTCGGAAAAGAATAGCCAGACTACACTTTCGGCCTTCCGCCCCTGTAGATAGGACGTAGGCCTCGAAGCCGCCCTTCTTGAGATGCGATCAAGCAAGTAATGGCGGCAAATGTGTATGTCACTTGAGCTGGAGGAGATGTGCATTTCTTGAAACATGTCCTGCAGCTCAGAGATGAGGTGCTTGTCGGAGAGTCGCTGAGCATCGAGCGTTGCAGGACGGGATCTCAATCGCATAGTATCATCGTGACGAGCCCTGCAATGAGCTGAACAGTCATCGATTATAAAGTTACTGGTACGGTTTTACGACATGGCAAGCGGTCCACTCATCATCAAAATCCTATAATCGGGTGGACGTTTCCACACTCCATATGGAACGATTTCGTGAAAGAAACAACTGACACAGCGCCTTGTGAGTGAAGGAAGCCGGGATAACTGGTCTTACCCTCACTCTCAACGATGGCGGGAAAAGTTCTTCTTTTTCTTCTCCACCCTCATGGATCGCTTCGCTCTTGGATTTCCCAAGCACATCGTCTCTCATCGAGTCTCTCTAGCGCTCCCCTCTATGCCAAAGCCCGTCGCAGCAACGATGACAGGAGAAAGGCAACAGGGAAGTCGTCCTTATGCCGAGATTTTGAATACTGCGTACCCGATGTGAATGAACATAGATACACCGACTGAGGGAATAGATCTTGTTAACGCGCGGCATACTCGAGAGCTCGAGCTACGAGCTTCAGGTAACTATGGAGGAAGTTGTGGTCGCATGGCGGGATAGGGGCAGGAGATGCAGCTCGGCGAACCTCAACGAAACGGGAGCAATCACTAGCGAATAGTCTCCCTTGCATTTGGAGCTTCGATACTTCTAGTGCAGATGAAGACCAAAAAGCCTCTATTCGATGACTGGAAAAGTCTCGCGGTGAGGATGAGAAAGAATTCTACCCCAAAAAATTTGGTATATCATCTTTCTGGGGGAGTTGGGTAAGCCCTGCGTCACCCTACTTGACGTCGATGAGCTTGCGAGGAAAAGTAATTCTGTCTTATTTGGTTACATGAAACGCTCGGAGTACGTTCACAAGCATCGATGAATCGTCTCGATCGCGCTTCCAGGATCGTATCCATCTAGACCGAGATATGCCAGACTGTCTTTAAAGCCTGCCTGCCTCAAGATTCACTGAATTTCAATCAGTGAAAAACTTGTTCGATCATACCAAGTCTCAGTGCTCTGCGCAATATCTTTTGATGTCAGAGACCATTTGATAGGGCGATCCACGAATGTGACCCTTGGAGCAAAGTCCACTTTGCTGAGGTGAGGACATCTTTCCTGGAAGAAACGTCCCACGCTTAGGATCACCTCCACGTCTCCAAGTATGCCTGAATACTTCCTCATGACATGACTGATTGAGATTTCACCAATAGTGAGTGGCTATCTAGGTACCAAAGTCGAAAAGAGGGAGGTAAATAGTGCAGATCAGTATTTGCTGTCAGCTGAGCCCATGATTCGATGAACTGGTTTTTTTTGTTATTGTTGTTGTTGTTGTTGTTGTTGTTGTTGTATTGTTTAACGCCGGTTTAACCCGCAAGGGCAAAGGGCGCTTATATTAGCTATTGTATACTATCTACCTCTATATATAGTGCGAGTTTAGGAGAAAAATAATAGTTTAATTATTTCTAAACTTTTAAACTATTATAAAATCGATCTTAGTAAAAGTATAGAGAGGAAGTATTATATAATAGAATAGGGGGTAATTACCTTAATATCGAGATATAGGTATAAGATATAATATAATATAGTAATAAGAATAGTAGTACCTATTTAGAAAGTTAGTTAAAATATCGTAGTACGTTAAGTGCTTATAATACTTAATAATCGGAGTAAGCGTAAGGGCGTAGACTTAGGTATATAGTTAGAACGCGTAGTATAGATTTTTAGTAGCCCTATGTTTTAGATACCGCTTTAATATAAGACCTTAGTAGCGTAACGTGCGAGATAGAGAAGCGGTCCGGCTGCTATACTGCGACTTTACTATCGACCTTAGGGGTATGATTCCCCTGTTAGTAGAAGCTGATCGCTGATTGCTAAGCTGTTCTCGTCTCCTCGGAGGCGGGGCGACCGCCTTCGATGAACTGGATCTTGATCTCTTTGAGCTTTTACTGTATGAATGAGCTCCACCAGAGACCAACGCCATCGATGATGAAGAACCAGATCAGTGAAGCCCATTCAAAATTACCATCAGCTCTCGCCTCAAAAGCTGATAAAGTTTTATTGCTAAAATTGTTGTTCAAACCATTCGTCTGGTCGTCTTCCAGTGTCATCTCGAAAACATATGCCGTCATGGCGGAGTGAACTTGCTGTGTAGTCACGAAATTGAGATGGATGGAACAGGAGCACACCAATGTGTCGATATCTACTCAGTCCGACGTGTAATGGCAATAGGGGATGTGGTCTTGCTGGTTGCGACGAGGTCGAAAGTCTAACGTTAAATGTCACCTGATGATTGTGCAGTAGCTCGTCCAATGCATGGACAAGAAAGCAAACAGCTATATCTTTAATCACACCAATAGCGATCTGGAAAGTACCACACAAGATTGGCCCCGAGTCTGTGATTCCCGAATCAATGACTTTGTGCTTATTGTCGATAACCTAGGGCAACTTGAAGTCTTTCCATGGCAGCGAATGAATCAGGGAGAGCACGAGATTTTCTTCGACGCAATCTCTGTCGTCCTTTCATGAGCAGAAAAAGTAGATGTCTTCAATGGGCTCGAAGTAGGATTTCAATTTTGGTCAATCAAGAAGCAGGTGAATACTGACTGACAGAGGTCTAGGTATCCGTGGAGCTAGGACATGTTGCTCCCGGAATTTGAGAGCCACAGCTTGAGCGCTTGTTCGTTTACCAGCAATTCTGAGGTATCTTGGCGGGCTTAATGGCATTTGGAAAGAGATTTGGCGTACTCGACTGTTTCAAATGGTCTGGTATGTATAGGCCACTCGAGCTCGGCATTAAGTCGCTTCAACTGTCCGCAGTCTGAGGTCTAAGTAGGATGAAACAAGAGCCTCTGTGATGCAAAATGGTCGAATACCTGATTGATTCTCTGAATTCTTGCAGTACGGCCGAAATATGCCTCTTACCAGGTGGACGTGTCATCTCGTGGTGATCTGGGTGCCCGATCTTGGTTGTTTCCTTTGACCATCCAAGTTTCGAGGAAAAGTCACCGGGAACATATGGACCCATCAACTAGTTGGAGCTCATCCGTTGTAGTATTGAAGAGCTTATTTTGACCCACGTCAGCCGAGTTTCGACCTTCTTGGAATGAGTGGATACAGTTTTTTGGTACTCGCCAATTGGCGACGTAATCTTGGATAAGATTCAACGACCCGAAATTTGAGAGCAAGGCCATCCAGTGGGGTTTGGTTAAGTTTGGATTCGGTCAAGCCGGTGGCGACCGGTGAGACAGTGGGCGCTATTTCAACGAATCGACCCCTGAATGTGAGGCATGCTTTATGCCAGCTTGAAAAGCACTATGTTCATCGTGGAACTGCTTGTCATTTTCTCAGCAAAGTCACGGTGGTGGTCTTGGATGGAAACGATGTGAACTGAAGACGGGTTCAAGGGCGTTGGACGATTGCAACAACGCAATGTCTCCCTTTCTGAGATTTACGACGAGTTAAGTGATACATTCGTCTCACCGTACATTAAACCTACAACCGGACATTGGCACATCTAAGCGACTACATATGTGAGAGAAACCGGTTGAGAGGTAGGCCAATGAAGCGGGTGAGACTGGATGCGACCATCATCTAAATGCATCTTTCGGGTGATTGATTCCGCTTAAACGCTTCACATGTCTATTTACGTTCTCTATTTCAGTTCATCCGTAGGATAACGACACTCACAAAGTGAACCGACGTAACTTGTGAGCGTGTGGATTAAATGGCTTGATGATGTTTGTTGTTAAAGTATTACACTGCTCCAAGGCTTGGGACGCGTCTTAACTAGTTTTAATTGGTGTTCCACTTATTCAAAACTGAGAAACGGGTATATTCTGATGATTAACATGTGCTTTCCTGTGTCGGAATCCCAGAAGCATGAACCTGATACTCTTCACTCAATCTCTTGTGCTGTGAAATGAAGTAAACGCAATCGAGGCTGCTATTTTGTGAGACTAATCGGGCTCAAAGAACCGGGACTCATACTTCAACAGTGAGAGAAATGACTTGTTTCATGATATCACCCCAATAAGGCAAATAGCATTGCTTTTCTCTCTGCGATTTCTCGGTCTGCCAGAGATGATCTATTATGATTATACTGTGTGGCATGCCGTTTCTTCACTTTTCTGCTACTTTTTTCACCCTTCTTATCATAATTACGAAGTTTGCTTCATTACTAGTCTTCAACAATAGGTCATTTTCGCCACTCCTGTTCACCGGGCTCATCGTAAAATTTCTCTAGGCTCATAACCCACTCAGTCTCACACCATCTTCTGACCTCAAATGAGACTTGGATCCCGAAGAAGAGCAACAATTTCACGTCCTCGTGTGCCGCCTCAAATGCATCACAAATTGCATATGCGATCGCTTCCTGCATGCCACCGGCAACAAAGCTTTCAACGCAGTATGGGTTTCGAATTGAAATCTCACTTTTGGCGTTAATAAAAGTCTCTCGCTTTCATTATGCGCCACGGTCTTTGGGCGGCTTGTAAGTGCAGTCAATGCCCTTGACAATGTCAACGCCAACATGTCATGCACTACATCTGACAATTACCCATCTCATCACCAGAGCTCCCCGATGACGACTAAATTCAGACATTAACGACAGATCCATTGTGAAAGTCAGCGACTCCATCTTGGACGGCTGGACAGACTCCCAGAAAGAGCCATCAGTTTGCACGATTATCCAATGTATCTCTGGTCTAGATGCCGGCGCTTGGGTACGTTGAGCCCAGTGACGAGAGCTTCCTCGAAAGGGTGAGGAGACAAACATGGCAGCTTCCTGTCGGCCCTTCTTGCCCATCTAAACCTTTGGGCTGCCCAATTTCGGGCAGCAGATGACTCAGCATCTGCCCGAGGACGGGCCAAGAGCTGTTTCCCTCTCATTGCGTGTGGTGAAAGGTGATGCCTTCCATTTGATATCTTGTCCCGGACGCCGCCTTCTTCCGCTTTTTGGTTTCTTCCATTTACAACGTTCCTGCGATGTTTTTGCAACTTAGAAACCTTGGTGAGTTCCTCTTCGACTTCCATTCTTTCTTTCTCTTCTCAAATTCGATTTTCCATTTCGCCGGTCCGACTTCCTCTTCAACTCCAGAGGGAACACGAATGGGCCGTGAGCTCACCTGCTTGAAAGCTCTCACTCGCAATGCACCGATTTGCTTTTGTGCTATCAAAGAGTTGCAGGTGCAGCTGAGCCTGCAAAGATATGAGGTACGTATATGCGCGCTTCATGAGATTGGTCGCCTCCTTCGTGATGTTTCGTTTCCTGATCTCTTTGACCTCGACACGCACGCCAGCATTGCCGCCCTTTTTTTTTTCCGCTCGCTTTCGGTGCTGTGTCTTTTCTTCACTCGCGTTTCGTTTCGTTCCGTTTTGTTTGTGTAGATACGCTCTCTACAGTCCAGGACTCTTCCCTTTCTGAGCACAGGTCTCATCCCAAGCACCACCAACATGTCTCTCAGCATAATCCCGAAGCCAATCGAAGAGGAGAACGATATCAAAGTCTCTCTCCAGAACCTCCACCAGGCAACAACAATCGCAGGGAACGTTCTCGTAGGGGGACAATCAATCCCTGAGCTCTGGCAGACCCTTCATAAACAGCATTGGCGCCATGCGTGGCGGGCTCATCAAAAAAAGACCCAGGAGCAGCAGGACGACGACCCCACAACCGACCCGCGTGACTGGGTAGGATTCGTTAAAGGGGTGATGTCTCGACGAGATCTTGATTTCGTAATTTTGGTGGTGTACCGCGACGAGGCCCAGACGCTGCGAGACAACTCTCACAAGGAATTCCAACGCCGATACAAGGCGTTTAGAAACAACATAACTGGGATGAACGACGAGGAAGTTGTTTTCCAACTCAGCTTCGACGCCATCACCTCCGTAGCGGCCCTCAGGGCCATGAACGGCATTCTCTCTTCAAGATCGCCCGGCGAGCGCATTGGGGCAGAAGAACTCTTTGCGGTGGCTCGACGCGAAATGCTCGTGAGGCACCGGGACCCATGCACCCCGCCGACTGTCGCCATTCAGGATGTGACCAAGGCCGTCAAGTGTACGTTTTCTCATTCTTCATTAACACCCTCCATCTCACTCTCTGTTCATGTTGCTCACATAATTTCGACTCTAGTCCTCCGAGCCCAGCAGCCCTCCCTCGCGCCCGCTCTCAGTCCCGCACCAGTGCCCGCTTCTGCTTCCGCTTCTGCTACCGCTACCGCTACCGCTACCGCACCCGCACCAGTTCTTGCACCAGCTCCCGCACCAGCGCCCGAACCCGAGCCCGCACCAGCCCCGGAGCCGCAGCCCCAAGCCCAAGCCCAGACGTCGGAGCCCCCTACGCCAAGCCCTGCTGGTCCAACGTCTCCCACCCCCGAATTCACCGGTCTGAAGCGCGCCGCCTCCTCGCTGGCACAAGGATCCAAGCCGCCAGCACCGAAGCGTGCCCGTGTTGCTTCAGACGAGGAGGAGCGCGGCGATCCAGAGCAGGAGCAGCAGCCTGACAACGACGCTGATGAGGACGACATCGACTTTGGGGATCCTTTTTTCAACCTGGGCGAGCCAGACTTCCTTGACAACGACTTCGAGCCTCTGAGCGACAAGCCAGAACGCCCGGCCGACCGCGTCCAACAAGAAGCAGACGTTTGGAGGGACCTCGTTCGTCAGATCCTCGCAACGCCCCTCCCAACCACGGCCCCAATGCTCTTCAATGGCCGCGTGGCCGCCTTACTCGACGCCGCCAAGGAAGTCGGCTTGCTCGCCGACGACGTGTTGGAAGAAGACCCTTTGCATGAGGATTCCTAGTCTGTGTGTGTGTTGTCGGCCGCTCGGTTTGGAAGTTTTCGGTTTTCGTGTCTTGTTATGTTTCGGCTTTGCTCCCGTCTCGTGTTTACGCCCCTAGCCTACTCCCCAATTTCGTTTTTCTCGGTCTCTTTCTTGTCGGTTTCTGTCGTTCTGGGCTTCGTTTTCTCTTTTCTTTTTCTTTCGCCAGAAGAGGAGCTCACGTCCATGACTTGTCGCTGCTGTTTCGCTTCTTGTTGTCAGTGCTGTGTTATTGCTGTGTATGACTTCTGTTTCGGTCTCGACATGACTATTGGAATCCGGTCTTGACCGTGGATTTCTGCATTTCAACTTTCGGCAACTGTTTTTCTCTGATTTCCCATTCCCATTCGGACCAATGCTAATACCCGTGTCGACGCACAGGATCTTAACTGCCCATCATACATCATCGAAAATCCATGCCCGACACTTCGGCAGCATCATGGCATTGGAAGCCCCTAAACCTTTATCACCGTGTATGGGCTGACATCTTCTTCAGGGATTGTGCAGATAACTGCAATATTTTCGAGATTCAACTGTGGCCTTGCCGTGACTCACATTCACCAGCCGAACAACAGCGCCTTGTGGTACCAAAGGATACATTCTTTTTGCGGTAAGTAATCCTACTACCAAATGTTTCGTGCTACATAATTCAAGTATGGAGAATCGCAATATTGTCTGCCGTTGCTTCTGCCAATTCATTGCTGCCCACGCAATCTACCATTTGCTTCTGATGTCTAAGATCGAACAGCCTGTAGATGCTATGCACCAGGATCTATGAGTGTTGATCAAATACTTACGTGTATAACCATTATTTAAAAGGTCACATCGGGCGAGGGCACCAATTCCCTGGTGTCGGAGTTATTCAATTGGTCATCTGCATAATATGTACCCCGTGTCAACTTGTACATTTCTCTCCATAGCTTAATCTCTTAAGCATCATCTCAAATTCTGAGCCTTATTGATGGAGACGAATGTTTAGCGCATTCTCACTTCAAAGAGGTCGCGAGATTTTTGGGTCTTGCGTCCTCAGCAAGATTGAGATTGTCCATGTCACAAAATTCTACTGTTACCGGCCCATGTTGAACATAACTACTTGTCCTGACTGGAAAGAGAAAACAAACCACGGTACTTGGTGCCAAAGACATTTTGGTCTGCTTCCATGAACTGGAGTGGGGTGCATTTCTTGGTCCAAATAAATCTTCTATGCGCGTGTGGTTCATGACACTGTTTCCGGTTCGTTCCAGGCGAATGGAATGAAATCGCGTTGGCGAGACGTTCACTCGAGACAGGTCAAAGTCTTTCGCTTATGCCTCTGGCTTCATGTTGCTATTTCTCTCTCGGAGTCTCTTGGTGTAATCGGAGCCATGGACAATGAGGATGGGATCGCGGACCCAGGCTACCAAACAAATCTTGTGCCGGCCTCGGTCAGGCATTCAGTCCATCAATACTGCAACGACTTTGCTGCCATCTGTCATATGTGGTTATGAAGCGATACTCACGCTGCCAAAACCTCGCACAAGAATTGCCGAGAGAGATTTTACATCATCAAAAACCATCTAACAAGCGGATACGAACTCTTCAAAAAGCGCTTTGAACTTTCGGCTTTTTCATTGTGTCAGATTTAGCTTATCCTTAGCTAGTATCCTTGGACCTCCCTCATTAATGCTCAAGCGGCACCCAATGGGTTCAGATTGGGGCCGGATGGAAGACACGTATTCGCGGACTTCACACTCTCTCATTATCTCCCAAAGCCGAGGAGAGCCCTAGGTCTGACAAAAATGCCTATCCCGCGTTCGAAATGAGTCGCTGTTTTTCTCTTTACTTATGAAAGATGGAGTGACCGTTCTTTTGCCAAAAAGACCGTGCTTCTATCTTCTTGTCGCCGTCCTAGCCCCCCCGTCTCCTCTAGACATGACCTTCCTATATGAGCCCGAAAACTCCATCTTCACACGCTTGGCCACTACCAACAACTTTGACGATTCTATCATCTCGGACATGCCTTACTCTCCCTTTGGCAACTCTTCTGATGCCGTCATCGAGATTACGCCGTTGCCCTGGAAGCAGAGCTTCTCGAATGCTGCCACTGCAAACAACCTTGCAGACGCTGTCATCTCGACTCTGTTGTTCCCTTCCGCTAAAATCTCGTCTGACATCACCATCACTTATTATCACTATGACGCCGTTGATATTCACGTCAGCAGGGTGACCGTATGGATGGCACGAAGGGTCAAGGAAGTGGTGTCTATTGGGGCGTGTGGAAGTGAGAAGATGAGAAAATGAGCGAATCCACGATTACTCCAGAGGTGGTATATGAGAGAAAGGTCCATTTGCACGGTCCTGACTGACCCCTGCCAGACCGACCTTCTCCGCCGACTGCCCAGACTCCAATATATGCCGTCATCGGGATCATGTCTTTCCCATCGGCTGAGAGTATCTCGATCGCTACCGCCGCCGACAACGCTTACGTGCGACCACCATGCTTCTGGGACTGCAGCTCTAATAAAGTTCCAACCACCAGTGCCCATCCAAGCTGGGGAGCGATACCTCGGACCGGAATTGACCACAAACAGTGCTACTCTACATGCCAAAAATCTTGCAATGTTATAAATTTGATGTAACAAGAGGCTTGGAAAAAATGGAAAAGACTAGATTTCGATGACAAGTCTACCTTTTAGATCATTTATCTCGCACTTGTCTGCAATTCTTTCGCCCTCATCTTAGGTATACTAGGTAAAAGGTGTAATAGCTGAAATTGTTATGCCTAAACACTAGCTTCGACCATTTCGTGACCTCCTCAACCCAGCAATTTATTCAGCCTTGGACTGCGATCTTCCAGATGATGGAGATTGAACGTGTAAAGGGGAAACTCTCTCAACACTCCAAGAACCAGCCGAGTCCGGTCCCGTTTCTGAACTTGAACTTGATTATCCTTCCCACAGTCTCCTCGGGATCACCAAATCCGACACCAAGATCGGGCATCAGCACTCTTGGTACTTGTGACGCTAGTTGCACACCAAATCCGCGGTTGTCGATGATCATCACACAGTGGCTCAATGCCTTGGCGAACTGAACCGCGAGAAGGCCTAGCCCGCCGGTGCCAACAACAATCTGGACTGACCTGTTTTATACCAGCCTCACAGACGGCGTGCTACGCAGTTGCACCCGCGAAACGCATCATCGGCGCCGCCTACTTGAACGATACTCTGGCTGTTAGATGCATGATAGCGTATTCTGCCTTATCACTCTACTCATGTAATCGGAAAGATCGTCGTCTGCGCCGAGTATGCACAAAAGTGTCTTATTACTTGGCTAGCGAGCATCTGAATTGCCTGCTGAGGATACTAATTTTCCACGATACCCACTACAGGAGCCGCATTGGCTAAGGAAATTGATAACGCTGACGCGATCGTGGGCCATCCAGCGTCATTAAGGCCCAAGGAGACGAAAATGCCCATCGGTCCGCGAGATTGATTCACCAGCGGCTTTGTGTTTCAAGCGCCTTGGCAGATCTGATAGTGGGTGTAACGGAGTATGCCCGCTGTAGCACAGATGAGGACCTCACCCTGACCGGATACGGGCACAGGCACATATGTCTGTAAGTCTCAGTCCTTGTTGAACTTGATTGCTTTGAATTAGCCAAGCTCTGGAGGATCTCGAATCACCTTGAACAGTGTTAGTCGGCGAGACCCTGTATGAAGCTACGAACCTGGGATACGGTGAGCATCTTCATGTGCTTCCAAAGCCACTTAACCATTGGCACTGTACGAAAACCAGCCACAGTTGATAAATGGGAAAAAAAGGATGATTGCGTCAATTCGTCAAAGAGCTGGATCTGATGCGCGATAGGTAAGAGTTCGACGATGGCAAAGAGGGCGCAAGTGTCAAATAGTACACGTAGGTGTGAAGTATAGGTGTTTGCGATCGATTATATCGACAATGCACCTAAGATCCTTCACCTGTCTATTCGGTATGCTTCTGACATATGCGAAAAAAGACGGAAACCATCGATTGGTTTCCCAAGCAATAAGTGTGGCACTTCTGGGTGTGGAATGCGGCTAAGCTAGATACTTATCCAACGGACCCTTAGTCACCAATGACAAGTAAACAAGCACACTGCCATTGCAAGACCTCAGCCGAGTTCTTAACCCCATATGCCACGACCATCGCCTGCTACGCCTCCAGCTATTTATTCATCAATCTAAGGAGCCATTTTCTGATACTGAGGCGGAGATCAGCTTGGCACGTAATAGACATACAGTTGACAAATCCTGCTGGTGTCAATTATGGTTCTCAGGATAGGTATGTTATAGGAGGAGCTTTTCGTCCTTTCGGTTTGATTATTTGCTGGTTACCATACTCATTCCCCTTACATTCGAACGGTGTTCCCAACCGATCATCCTATTACTCCCCAAGCCGCTCAACCTGGTTTTCTTGCCCCTGCCAACGAATCGTTAAAATAGCTATGAATTCCAAGACCATTCCCACTTTTCTGTGTCACGAGAATGCCAGAGTCGTGACGATGCTTGCCACAGGAGATGTTCTCGCTAATGTAGAAGGCTTGTCAAAAGAGGACTACATGTACGGCTTCATCAAGCACGGCACATTATTGATCTGATTGATCAACAGCCTTCACACCCTCTTCAAGAAGAAATATCTTAATATTTAGACCCGTATCGTCATTATCGCTATTACACTGAGTACTGTTGTCGTCAAAGTCGACGTGGAACGCGACACGGCTGAGTATGACTACACCGATTTCCACACTATGATGGAGTTTGAGGAACAACCGAAGATCGTTGCGCAAGTCCTCCACTCCTACCAGTAAAGTAGGAAGAGGAATTTGAGGTCAAACCAGCTGGAAAGATGATGGGTCAGTGGCCTAGCCAAGGGAGCCGACGGAAACCCCATTTTCTTCTTCCACTCCGTCACGAGGTTTCATACGCCCGAGTACCTTAAGAATAATGAGCTAATCCATACTTTTG